AGAGAGAGAGAGAGAGAGAGAGAGAGAGAGAGAGAGAGAGAGAGAGAGAGAGAGAGAACGAGAGAGAGAGAAAACGAACGAGAGAGAGAGAGAACAAGAGAGAGAAAGAGAGAAGGGAACGAGAGAGAGGGAAGGAGAGAGGGAGAACGAGAGTGAGAGAACGAGCGAGAGAGAACGAAAGAGAGAGAGGGAGAACGAGAGAATGAGAACGAAAAACAGAGAACGCGAGAGAGAAAGTGAGAACGAGAGAGAGGGAACGAGAGCGAGAACGATAGAGAGAGAACGAGAGAGAGAGAGAGAGAGAGAGAGAGAGAGAGAGAGAGAGAGAGAGAGAGAGAGAGAGATAGAGAGAGAGAGAGAGAGAGAGAGAGAGAGAGAGAGAGAGAGAGAACAAAAGAGAAAGAGACGAGATAGAGAGAGTGAGAGATAATTCATAACTACGGTTTCAAAAGAGCCTAAACTGAAGAGCAAAAGGTGGAAGAAAGATGTGCAAATACGAGGAAGGAATGATGCACTAAACTAATGGAAGTCATGATGAAGAACATAAGAATCAGATGCAAGATTATGTACAAAGAATATGTAAAGTATTTACAAAGCGCCAAAGAATTGAGAAAAGAAATGTGAGCATGGAATGAAACTAGAACGAAATGGATAAAGTAATTATGCGACAATTCTAGATGTTGTGAAAGTGAGACGAAAAACTGGCATTGCAGGCTCTAAAGAAAGAACGACCTGGTTGGTCGTCGAAATGGATTAAGACCAGCAGTAAAACGGCTAGTTGCTAAGTCTAAACGACTGAAACAGACGATAATGATTAAGAAGATGTATCTACTATCATCTTAAGTTTAGAACGCTCACCTAGGTAGTAGTAGCTGAGAACAGGAGTCGGGGGAATCATTGGAGTAGCTTGGAGAAGTTGAACCAGAACGAAACCAAGCAGAAAAGGATTCACGAAACCCTAGGTAGGTATGTCTTTCGTCGATAAGTTACGAAATGAATATTATTTTTTTCCCTACCTCGGTGTCGAAATTGGCGTAGTGGTGAAGGTGACATTGTCGGATCGGATTGTCTGGAGATCGATCCTTGATGCGATCGAACCTACGTAACCAAGTAGTACAATTTTTGTAAACCTCAGCCTAGAGTTACATACTCGGTATAAGTAGTTAGGTAGTCATGCAACACGAGATCCATAGTAATAGAAGTTGTATAACATATGTTGATAATGCAAAAAGCTTCGCAACCCTATGACGACGTCGTCGCCTCTTGTTTTTTCCTCAATAACAACGGGTCCAGTGGGCTGCATGCGTACTCGTTATTTGCGTCAGGAAATAAGGGCGTAGGCCCAAACGGGTGTGATCGCCTCGATCAGCCGCGATCAATAATTTTCAGGAAGCCTGGAAGCCAATTTCAGGCAATCAGGGGCAATCAGCTGATCGCGATCAACTGATCGCCCCAACTCAATCAGACCCGATAAACCCCGCTCAGAGTCGATTTTCCTCGATCACAGGCAATCAATTGATTGCTTGTGATCGGGGCACCTAGCGATGCTTGCGAAGCGTTACACTGTTGCACTTACAGTGAAACGACGATTTTCGCCAGGTTAAGCCTGGTCGTCAATCTCGCTAGAATGGTGATGAAAATGCCACTCAAATGTATCGCGCTTGCTGAGCAGTTGCTCACAAACTTCTCTGAAAATCATCTCTGATCGGGCGGCTCGGGCACACGATCACAAGCAACCCGCTCAGATCCGACCCGATCAGATCAGCCGCGATCAAACCCGTTTGGACCCACGCCCTAATTACACAGGCTGCATCTGCGGTTCGACCTCTGTGACAGGGCATTGAATCTATGGCTCAGATAGGTCGTGGCAATACGGTAGTCGCATGCTCTAGAAGTCGCTCATCAAGAGCGACTCGTTTGTGATGTGGCTGAAATTGTGCATTCATGACATTTTCACGAATGTCTTTGTGGGTGGCATTGGGACGAATTTCTCCAGTCAAGCAGAGTCCAGCACAAAGACAATCAACAGTCAACTCCGCGTTATTGAGAAAAACCAAGCGCACGACGTTCTTTCCACAGACAAATCAGTAATACAATCACATAAGCCCCTCCAACAAATATCAAGCTCCAAATACCGATCGGATTCGGCGCATAAGTTCAGCCCTGCAAGCATCAACACCACCACAATATTAGCCTCGAAATTTTGTTGCCTATGGCATCCCCTGGCTTGACACATTTACACGATATGGCAGGGATTGTATTCTAGCGGATAGTTAAGAGGAATACTTGATTTTGAATACAACCACGGAAAAAACCACATCGTACCTGAGCCATTGTCGCTCGTCGCGAGTGTTGCCCAGCACGCCTCGGTTCTCATGCGCTCGCCTCAGCAGGTAAGGCATTACATCCCTTACGGGACCATACGGAAGATACTTGGATGCGTTAAAGCCAGCAAATCCGAGTCCCAAGGAGAGCCCATCCGCCATCCCTTTGAGCTGTGCAAAGTGCAACCGAGGATCCGTGCGAGCCAATCCTACGTCGCCAGCTCGCATCACTGCCACCCGGCCTGCAGGAATTGAAGGGTGGGGGAGGGGGGGGGGGGTTGCAAGAGAAGAAGACAATGGAGGAGGAAGGAATGAGTGTGATAAGTAGGGTGATGAAAATCGTATCGAAACGAGAGGGGCATAGGGAGAGTCGTGTCAACAAGGGACACACTAGAAACCTGCCTGATCCATAGTTGTGAGTTGCTAGCACCACTCCAGCTGCAGGCCCGCTCTCACCCTCAGACTCCCTCTTAGCAGCCGCCCCAGCAGCATCAATCATCATCCCCGCACACGCATCATAGCACTTGTGCGTGTTCTCAATGCTCTCATGCACCGGTGACGTCGCGCCGCGCTTCTTAGCTTCGGCGGATTCCCGGACCAGATACGCTCCCCGAACCAGCTTCACCCCGAACCCAACCCCGGCTTCCTGCGCTGCGCCGAAGCTAGCAGCCAGCCTCGGCTTCGCATCCCGCAGGTAACACTGCACTGTGGAATACACCAACGGTAGCTCTGCTTCGGTCTTGCTCCCCTCCTTCCCACCTCCTGTTACAGTCACGCCCGTCTTGTTATACTCCATCATTAACGCGTACGCTAAGTAATCAATCGCTGGTTCCACAGACTGATACTCCGCGTCTATTAAAAGGGGTAATTTGCCCTCAGTGCAGGCATCGCAGATTTTCCTTAGCCTATTGTGAGCCGATGTGATGGCGGCTTCCTCGCTGGGAGTGAGAGGGGAGGGTGCGGAGGAGGGGGTGAAGTAGGTGGGGGACTCGGGAGCGAGAATGGGCAGGGAGGGGCGGCGCCATGGCATGGGGACAGAAGCAGACGAGGATGAGGTAGGGGCAGAAGAGGTGGAGGAAGAGGAGGAAGAGGAGAGTTTGTGGTCCCAGCGCAGAAGTTCGCTGACTCGTTCGAGCACGGGCAGTGGGCAGAGGGCTGTGATCTTTACACAGGCGAAGCTCACCTGTATGTGGTGATTGGGATGCATAACAGGGCAGGGAAAAGTTGAAGATCTGTGATCAAATGGTTGGGGGAATTCTATGGAGGGCCACGGATGGATATGTACAGATTAAGAACAGATAGTACAGATACACCAAGCTCAGTGATATTTTTCCAGCGGGTGAGGTAACCTCTGTCCATTTGTGTGCATACTCCCTAGTTCAATTTCATGACTTATAATCAAGAGCCTTCACTTGCTGGACAGATTTCCTCACCATGGGTGGTGACAGCTGTGACGCCATCCTGATGGTGCGCAGAAACCCTTCCATGTTGCGGTCGCATGTTGCATCGTCTAACGCGTCCTCCACGCTGTTTTGTTGAAGTGAAGGAGGATGGGAGGGAAGGGGGTAAAAGTTAGGAAAGGCGTGGGTTACGAAGCATGTTTTTTCGTGAGTACTAGTCATTTCCAAAACACAGATGGTACATAAATGTGTGCCATTCCTATTTCATGGAATAAAAAATATAAATGTTATGATTTTAACGTATAAAGGATTCTGAATTTGGTGTAGCACTTTCCCAACCTTGTTCAGAATACCAACCGGCACTTTTGCAAGGTCCTCCAACATTCATCCACCTTCGCGAGCCGCGCGGGTCGAAATTCGACATTTTCAATGCCCTCTGAAATTCGCATCGCACTTTCAACCCACCACCCACCACCCCTCCGCCCGTTCCACCACACCCTTCCCTGTCAGCACGGCACTGACCTCCTTTTCTCCCTAGTACAAATCGAAGCTCGTAACCACTCCTATCCCAAATCAATCAGACGCAACTACTCGCACGCATAGTTCCTGCGTTCCTCGAGGCCCTCATCGACAGCTTATGCATAATTTCGCTTATCACGCCGCGTGGATGGAGGGAACCTCGGGATCATCGGGTCCTACTGGCGGAGCTCGGGTTACAGCGCGCCGTGCTGGCGGCTTGACCCACGACGGCACCTCCGCTGAACCCGTACTTATAATAGGTCCAGCGTCGAGTTCAGCTACGCCCGCGGTTGCGAACGCTAACGGAAACGCGAACGCTAACGTAAACGGAAACGCACGCAACAACGCCAGCCCCAGCTCCAACGCCTATGCCAACGCCGCTGCCAATGGCAACGGCAACGCAAACGCCAACCCGAACGACAACGGGGTCGCGGATCACGAATCGCGTTTGGACGATCATCAGCGGCAGCTGAAAGAAGCCGCCGAGGCGGCATCGTCATGGGCGGCCGTTTCATCGCTCACCGCATCCTACTCGTCCTGCACGGCGTGCGTCGCCGTGATCGCCGCTCTCGGCGCGACCGCCGCCATCGCGTGGACCAGCGGGGACGCCGCGGAGTCTCCGCGCAAGGAGACGTTCCGAGCCCTTGCGCGCGCCATCGCGGCTACGACCAGCGCAACGGTGGTGGCTGTGGCGGCCACTGCGACCGCGAGCGTGGCGACCGCGGGCGCGCATGCGTCGACTGTGCTGGCGGAGCGGCTGCTGCTGACCGTGGCGGTGCAGGAGCGACGCGCGGAAGCAGCGGGAAGGAGTAGGGGACGCGTATAGAGGGGGAGACGCGGAGACTGGGGGTGACGCGGAGAGTGGTGAGGACATGAAGTGTAAAACGTGCACGAGTAAAATACGAGTGTCAATACGACGGTCCAACCCAGAGCTCGCTACGTAAGTCACGCGTCTCTCCGCAGTAAACCGCCCGCGAGTACACGAATTCGTAAAACTGTTCAGGTACCGCTACGAAGGTCAGTGATCTGCTGCCCTGTTCAGTGGTCTATGATCTGCTGTTCTGGCAGTTTCTCTTCACTAAGCAGAGAAATCCGATAAGAAGAATAGCTCTGGCATTGCGCTCAGCAACGCCTGAAAAGGTGTCTACTAGCTCCATCCCTCGGTTTCTCAGAAAAAAAAAAGCATTTACATCAAGTAACCACCATTCTGTCATTTCGCTGTGGTATCCGATTGTACAGCTCTGCTCAAACTCTTCCTGGTAGCTGTTTCCTCTGAAACTAACCTCATGTACTAGGTTTACTTATAAGCAGTTCGCTCCAATAAACGCGTGATATAGAATTTATCCTCCTCTTCGCGGAATCATCCGGCGGACCCTGGAATCGCTAGCGGGAGAAGCTACGTCTGTTCTACTGGCTTCGCCAGACTTTCGCTTGCTTCACCTCCTCTCTTTACACTTCGTTTCGGTAGGCTGTTTCTCCGCTACACGATGAACTTCGACTGTACATGATTGCGTTCATTTGTATAAATGTTTTAAATTTGAAATGTACAGTACCTGAAGTCCAGAATGCCTTTGAGCCCGAGTTGCTGCATGCGGTCGAGCGTCGCAACCGCCTCCTCCAGCGTCTCCCCCGCGCAGAAGTGCTTATGCGCCGTCTTCCGCACCCCCCACAGCACGGGGGCCGCCACCAGCGGAATTCGCATCACGGGTGACGTCAGCAGCGCTGAGCTGGCGTCCACCACCATCTCCCGCGCCGCCATTTCGAGGTTGAGAATCGCGTTCGCGACCTCTGACGTGGACAGCTGTTGAAACAGCTTCTGCACGTTCTCCACATTGAGCGACTCCGCCGCGGCCGCCGCGTCTCCCGCCGGTCCGCCCGCCGCCTTTCGCGCGGCATCTGCCAGCGTGGACGACGCCACGTCAACCTTCTCCGCGCCGCCGCCGCTGCTACCGCGAGAGGAGAAGAAGGGACGCGCGGAGAGGTGCTGGTCAAGGACGAGATTCGCGGTGCTCGCAGCGAATGTGGGGGAGAGATGACGAGGAGGTGAGCGGAGAGCGTGGCGGGAGAGAACGGCTGGCGAGGGGAACGAGCCCGCGGGTCGGCCGGGAGGGGAGTGGTGAGGATGAATGGAGGAGTTCGAAGTTGACAGAAGGCGCCTGACGACTGAAGAGCTGACGGGCATAGAGGGACAGCTCGTAGGACCTCCAGCTATAGCAGCTGTAGCGGCTGTAGCGGTTTCATGAATAGGAGACGTTCCCAATGGAGGTGCGGAGGGAGCAGAAGCCGGGGCTTTAGCAAGCGTGGTAAGAGCGGCTAGCGAGTGCTGGAGGAGGGCCGTCGCTGGAGCGGCTGCGAGGTAGAGGTGGTGGTGGAATTGAGAAGCTGCGTGGAGAGCATGGCGTGAGGACGACGACATTCCATTGATGGACGCCGCCATTGTTGCTCAAATGCGGGAGTTCTGTGTTCGACGTTGAGAAATACGTTGTTGGCAGCAGTCGTGGAAGATGTTTAATCGTACGAGCCGCTTTCTACGAGTGACAGGTAGATCCACTCATTGCTCCTATCGAAATCGTACGAGCCGCTTTCTATTCTTCGTACAGTCTGGTTCAAAGAATGATGGCTTAGGGGGAACCTAGAAGAAAGCGGCTTGAGCGACCTAATGAAAATCGGAAAGCTGGTCTTAGGGAAAACGAGTCTTGTGAGTAGTCAGGCGATTGCAACAATAGAAGCGTCGACATACACAAACCTAAAGGATGAGCAGAAAGAGGAGGAAACTCAGACAAGTTATGGCTGCCTGAATAACGAAGATCAGGAGTAAGGAAATTCAGCGTGGCAGGGAGGGAAGAGCGAACCGATGCATGCAGTGACGATTTGTGTTCCTCAAGCATCGCCCTGCCGTGGTTCCAGATGGGAGCCGCAGACTAACGCCAGCGCGACAGCGATTGACTGACCTGGCACCAGACATTGGCTGCAAGTTTGGCTGAGTTGGAAAATGCTCACGTGATTGACGTGGCTTTTCGCGCCAATGACGAAGGCTGGGACTGGATATTCGCTGGGATGCCGTCAGAATGACAAGACTCGCTTCCCAAGGTTGTTGGGAATTGCCCAATAAGGGACTCGGAAATGGAAGGTTACGGTAAGGCTTGTTTGAAATAAATGCATACAGCATTGATCGCACAAAAACCTTTAGTCGGAGCAGATAACGGAATGTATGTGGGTGCACCACGCAAACACTTTCTATATACTCCAAGCTCCGTGCTGCTGGTAAAGTCTTCCACACCCTAACGCGTACAACAGGCCCAGAAAGGAAAGTCTCGATATTCCATCAGCTCACCTCAGCCCCAGAATTAGCTGGGCCCAAAATGGCCCCTCTTCGCGCGTCCGCGCGTCGCGCGCTTACACTGCTCCACGAACGACAGCCGTTGATTTTGTCTCCTATGGCCCCCGTCGAACCAACGGCTGATGCAATGGCAGCGGCCATCACGGGAGGAACAACGGCGGGGATCACGGCGAGTAGAACAGCGAGAACACCCGTGGTCGCTAGATCCTTGCATTCGAACGGATCCACACCAATTAGCGTTTCTGGATGCGGATCGTACGGTCCATGTCCGTCGCAGCCGCTAAGCGCGCTGTTGGTCCGAGATCAACGGTCTGGATTTATATCCCCGGGGGCTTTAGCAGGAGCGGTGAGGATGCTGAGGACCAGTGGGGTATGGGGTTCCAGCACCAGCGGATCTGTGCCGTCCACATTGGCTCGGCAGTCGATCCAACGGCTGGCGATGTCTCAACCGCCGCTTTGCGCGGGGCTTCCGCTTCTGCGCGAATTTAGCGCCTCCGCTGCCCCGTCAGATGCAGACAAGGGAGGCGAGTCGAGGTTGGATGAGCCACGGGCGAAGAGCTTCCGCAGTCGCAATCCAAAGGCTGGATTTCAACGGCTTGGCCAAGATCCTTGGGATCGGACGGCTGGAAGCAGCTGGGCTGTTTCAGATGCGAAAGATCCAACGGCTGGGGTGCGTTTATCTGGGGATGGGACGGCGGAGGGGGATCGCAGACGGAGCGACGGGAGAGGGACGGACAGGATGGGAGGTAGGAGAGAGTCGGGCAGGCGTAACGAAGGAGGCTGGGAGTGGGAGGGCAGGAAGGATGGAGACAGGGACTGGGGGGGAAGGAGTAGAGAGTGGGAGAGTAGAGGTGGGGGCGACAGGGAGTTACAGAGGGGGAGGGGAGTAGGGAGAGGATGGGAGAGTAGGAGCGGCGGTGAAAAGGAGTGGGAAAAGAGGGGAACGTCGAGGGATTGGGGGAACGGGAGAGAGGAGAAGAGAAGCGAGGGTATCCGAGAGTGGGGAAACAGAAGCGGGGGTGGTGGAGAGTGGGGAAAGAGGGGCGGCGCGAGAGAGTGGGAGCAGCGCGGATCGAGGAGCAGCAGACAGCACGAGATGGAGAAGCGGGAGCGGATGGAGCAGGGGGGGCGGATGGGGAAGCGGGAGCGGATGGAGCAGGGGGGGCGGATGGAGAAGCGGGAGCGGATGGAGCAGGGAGGGCGCGGACAGGGGCTGGACGCAAGCAGCGCGAGCGGTGAAAGGCGGAGCTGGGGGGACAGGGGGGGCAGAGGGGGAAGGGGAGGGAGCGGGAGCAGTGGGGGGAGGAGCAGCTGGGAGGGCAGGGGGAGCAAGGGGGGAAGGGGGGGCAGAGGGAGCAGTGGGGGGAGGGGGCGCGGAGGGGGCATGGGGAGCAGAGGTGACATGGGGAATGTGGACAGTATGGGGGGAGGGATATTTAGGGGGAATGGCAGCAGGGCAGGCGCGCGGAGGAATGGATGGGGGGAGGGGGAAACTGGGGCTATGTTAGCTGCGGAAAGAGAGGGATGGGGGGAGATTGGAACGGGGGTAAGGGGAGCAGCAGAAGAAGGGCGGAAGATGGGGGCAGTAGGGGTGAAAGGGGCGGAAAGGGGAGAAAGGGGTGAAGGGGCGGAGGGGGCGGATGGGGCGGAAGGGGAGGAGGGGTATAAGGGGGTATTTTGGGTGAGTGGCAGCGGGTATAAGGGCACGGGGAGGGACCGACGGCGCGATGTGAGTGGCGCTCTGGGTAGCAGTGCGGATGGTGAGAGGTGGAGGGGAGAGGAGGATGAGGGGGAGGAGGAGGAAGAAGAATTTGAGGAAGAAGAATTTGAGGATGAGGAAGAGGATGAGGAGGAGGAGGAAGAGGAGGAAGAGGAGGAAGAGGAGGAAGAGGAAGGAGAATATGAGGAGGATGAAGAGGAAGGGGGGAAGGAGGAGGGAGAGGAGAGAGGATGGAAAAGGAAAGGGACTGGGATGAAGATCGACGGGGTTCAGGGTTTTAAGCGCCAGGAGTTTTCCCAGGGTCTTTCTGCCGAGGAGAAGCAGCAGATCTGGAGAGAATCAAATCTCAATCCAGATCTTCCCCAAGATGCTGACAGGCCGCCCTGGCAAACCCTCCTAGAGAGACCAGCAGTGCCTAGCGTGGGTGAAAACGCGGCGAAATGGCAAAGGAAGATGGTGGAGAAACGAGCAAGAAGAGACGCTGAGAGCAACAGAGACTGGGAGCGGGGCAGGGAGTGGGAGAGGGAGAGGGAAGCGGAGCGGGGTTTAAGCGGGGGTTTAGGGGAGAGGGACCAGGAGTGTGCTGCTGACATGGCAAAGTTGAAGGTGGCGTGGCTGATTGATGAGCTGGCGGTGCTGCGGCCTGCGGCGATCGTGAAGCTGCTGAACGCGCAGCGGGCGTGGATAGGCATGGAGCATGTGGAGGGGATTGTGAGAGGGTTGCTTGAGCGAGGAGAGACTCTGAGGGCTATTAGGGCTCTCAAGTGGGCCCGCCAAGCCGCCTTCTATGCACCAATCCCCTCGCTCTATGCCGACCTGCTCGACGCAGCAACGGCCAATCAGCACGTGCCACGCGCGCAGGAGCTTTTTGATATGATGCTGGCGCATGGGTTGGTGCCGCCTAGGAGGAACTATGAGGGGCTGATAAGAATGTTCTTAAGAGAAAGCCGCCGGTTGCAGGAGGGGAAGGCCCCGAGTGGGGAAGGGGAGGAGGAAGACGGAACCGGAGGGGTATTTGAGGGTCGAGAGGGGAGCAGAGCGGTGGAGAGTGGTGGAGAGGCTGGGAAAGGGCCCGGGGGGTTCAAGGGGTTTAAGGAGATGAAACAGGCTGAGAAGGCAGCGGCAGAGGTGGAGAGGGGTTGGGAGGTGTACCGACAGATGAAGCAGTTTGCTGAGCTGACCCCCAGCAGAGCCATACAGGAGGAGCTGTGGGGTGTGCTCACCCTTGGGGGTGGTTCTGGGCGACACTTGGTGAAGGCTGAAGAGCTGCTGAGAGACATGGAGGGTGGGGAGGGGATGGAGGATGGGGAAGGGGAAGGGGAGGGGGGGGGGGGGGGGGGGAAGGGGAGGAGGGTGAAGTGGGGGAGAAGGAAAAGGAAAGGCCGCGGTTTCCGGCTGATTCCCACGTTCGTGCTGCCAGGTATGCGCTACTGTTGCGCCATGCCGGCCTCGCAGGTGACGTGGCACGCACCGAGAATCTGCTGTCGCGGATGCGGGCGGCCGGGATACCGCCGAATTCCGCCACCCTGGAGGCGCCAGTTGTCGCGTGCGCATTGGCCGGGAAGAGGAGGAAGGTTTGGGAGGGAAGGGGGGTGGGTGGGAGGAGGGGAGGTGAGGGGATGAATGGGGGAGGGGGAGGAGAAAGGCTGTTAAGTTTGGAGGAAAAAGCAGAGAGGGGGATTGAAGAGCTTGAGTCGGAAGGTTTTCAGCCCGGGCAGGTGGTGTTGACGGCGCTAATGGAAACTTACAACCATACCGGGCAGCACGAAAAAGTTTTGCAGGTGTGGCCGAGAGTGGTGGAGGTTGGTAGCAAGTTTTCAAAGCGGGGAACAGATGTTGACATGGGGGAAGGGGGAGATGGGGAAGGGGAGAGGGGAGAAGGGGAAGAGGAGGGGGTGGAAGGGGAATTGGACGGTGGAGAGCAGGGGGCACGAGATAGAACAGCGGATGGCAAAGCGGTGATGGTGAGAGCTTATAACGCGTATGTGGAGGGGTTGGTGGGTGCTGGTGAGATGGGGAGGGCGGAGGAGGTGGTGGGCGAGATGGCAGCTGAGGGGATCCCTGGGGTGCACCTGAGGGAGGCTTATCTGTCACTGCTGAGAGGGTATGTGCGCATGGGAGCGGGAGGAGAAGGGGGAGTGGGGATGGGAGAAGGTGGGAAGGAGGAGTGGACTGGAGGGGAGGGTAGGGAAGAGGCTCGAAAGGCTTTAGATGCGGTTGGTGGGTGTTTCCGAGCCATGGTTCAGGCTCGGTGCGAGCCGAACCAGGAGGCTTGGAACCTGTACATCCGGGCGTTGATTCAGGCCGGGGAGCTTGAAGAAGCTTTGAAGGTGTACAGAGCGATGCAGAGCGTTGAGAGGGCGGCAAAGAAGAGAAAGGAGAAGAACAGAAAAGGTGGTGGGAAGAAGAAGGGGAAGGAGGTGGGGGCGGGTGCAGGGATGACTGAAGAGGGGGGTGAGGGGGTGGGTGAAGCAGGGAGGGTAACGGTGATTGGCTCGGGCTTGGAAGGAGGTTTGTCGGTCAGGTTCGGGCCGAACCAGGAGACGTACAACCTGGTGATTGCTGCTGCTGGCGCTGCTGCTGATGTTGACACCGTTCGATCTGTCTACACCGATCTTAGGGGCGGCGTTCCTCTTGCTGCCCGTGCTTCTGCTGCTGCTTTCGAGGTAGGGGACACAGAGCAAGAGGGAGAAGAAGAGGGAGTAGAAGGAGAAGAGAGAGAAGCAAGGGGGGCAATGGTGCGGAGCATGCCTGCAAAGCTTAAAGCCCGGCTACTCGGCCCCGCGAGGCAAGCCGCCCTGCAAGGGGTCGGCAGGCGCCATCTGCTAGCGGACGAGTCGGCAGGGCTGAAGCTGTCGCAGGAGCAGCGCCAGATCTTATCCGGGCTGATCCTCGCTGGCGCTGACGTGGCGAGCGATGACGGGGCCGCGACGGCGGCAGTGCGGTTTTCAGTGGTGGCTGGAGAGGAGAGGAGGGAGAGGGTGATAGAGCACCTGTATGAGGTGTTTAAGGAGTGGGCTGCTGGACCAATCGTGGAGGAGGTGAGTTTTGATGGGGGCGGGGAGGAGGGTAGTGAGGACGTGAGTGAGGAGGCAACTGGGCGGATGGGGAGGAGAAAGGACGGGGAGGAGGAAGAGGAAGGGGAGGAAGGGGATAATGGGGAGGGGGAGGGCGATGACACGGTCAGCAGGGCCGGCACAAGCAGCACAGGCAGCACGGGCAGCACGGGCAGCACGGGCAGCACAGGCAGCACAGTGGGCAGGGGCAGGACACAGCGGGTGTTGACGTTCAGCACAGTGTCGCACCCCTCGCTGGTGTTCTACCTGCACCAGTACCGCCCTGAGAAGCAGGGCGGACGGGCCGTGGTGCCCCGCCTCGTGCACAAGTGGCTCACTCCTCGTGCCCTCGCCTACTGGTACATGTATGCCGGTCAACGCGGTCAACCCAGTCAACGGGGGAAAAGCGGTCAGCCCGGAGGGTCTGTTATTCTGGATGCAGGGATGTATCAGGCGAAGGAGGTGGAGCTTATAGTGAAGGCGCTTAAAGCGAGGACGATCGACTGTGCCCAGAGTAAGAAGGGGAAGGGCAGCAAGGGGCAGCGGGCTGTGAGATTCTCGGGGCCCTCGGCTCAATTCCTGTGGAAATTTATGGAGCCATTTGTTTTGGAAGAAGTTAAGGAAGAGTTGAACCCTGTTGGAGGGGGTGGGAGTGGAGGAGGGAAGAGGGGAGGAGGGAGAGTGGGGTTGGGGAAGTTTTCTGTGGGGGAGGGAGGGGTGGTGGTGGGTGAGGAGAAGTTTGTGGGCGGTGCAAAGGGCGTGGCGAATGAGGGGGCTCGGGAGAGTGAGGAGGACCGGCGGGAGGGCTGGGTGAGCCTGACTCGAGCAGTGAAGGAGGCGAAACATGGAGGTTACGACAATAGTCGATAATTGGATGAGTGTTAATCATTTCTTGTGTCGATACCGTTGCTTGTCTTGATAGAAGGCAAGGAAGATTCAGGATTGGCTGCTTGCTGGTGGCTGTGATGTCTTGGCCACAGCTGCAGGACATGGCATACTGCCACACCAGAAGACAGCATCCATGTCACGCTGATGCCCAGGGAGGTTTGTTCTGTTCAGTCTGTCTCAGCAAGCAGATGAGAATGTGGCAATACTGCAACTGACAGACTGGGTAGCGTCTCCTCCATGCTCTTGTGGTACCCTGTAGCAATGCTAAATGTAACTTGTGGTTACTGCCCTGCATTGTGTTTTGTGGTGTAAGCAAGTACCCCGATTCCTCCTGACCATACCTTTACTGAACGTAATCTAAGCAATTGCCTTTTCTTGTCAAACCTGCCATCCCCGCCCGGGAGGGACTTGTCTGTCTGCCTCTAACCAGTACCGTATTCTGTTTGTGGTGGCTGGCTGGCTCCGTACACGCATGCATGCTGCGTGCACGCACATGGTTGGGGTGGGGGCGCCCTGCACTTCCACCTGCAGGAGGACACTCCGTTCTGCTTGCGAGCTTGCTTGTGCCCAGGCAGGCGCCTCTGAGGCTGCCCAGTGCCCAACCCACCCCACCTACCTATTCTACAGCAAATTTTGCCTTCTAGCTGCCCAGTGCCCATCCCAGCCCACCGCAACATAACACACCTATGCAAGATAGGCACACCTAACCACACCTAAGCAAAAATAAGCACACATAAGCACAATTAAGCACAGCTAAGCACAGCTAATCATGGCCAAGCAAGAAACGCAGCATCTTGAGAACTTGGTGTTCCACTGCCGTGCGGCACAGGGAGACCTTGTGAGCAGGGAGACACTTACAAGCTGCACAAGCGCACACAAGGACACAAGCGGAGCTGATTAGAAGGAAAAAGAAGTTGTGAAGCAAGCACTAGGTAGGAGATGTACGTTAACAAGGGCTAGGAGAAGCGGAGCAGCGAGAAGGGAAGATGAGAGGACAGGAAAGGAGGAGTTTGTAAGGTGAACAGAGTGGCATTGACGTCCGGCTACACAGCAGCTAAGGCACATGGCACTGTGGGAAAAAGAATCTCCTGTCACACCTACCATGAAGAAATGCCCAGCACTGATGTTGCTGCCACAGCTTCCCCTGCAGTTGCTGGAAGGACAGCAATGGGACATGGAGAAGGGAGGAGGCCAGGACACCAAAACAACAGGACACAGAAAGAGGGGAGCACGAGCGAATTGACAAGGAGGCAAGCACAATATAACCAAAAACCATATGATAGAAGCATAGGGTAAGCTGTAAAGCGAAGCACATGCAATAAAGTGATCCAGAGCAATGAGCGCTACGCAACACAAATGACAAAGAGGGCGCCGGGCGGGGGAGATAATACTTACCTAGTAAAATTAAATCCCGGTTGCTGCCTGTTCTCCCACCCATTCCCTGAACTCTCCATGCCATTCCTCTTCGACCGCAGGCCGTGAGGTGAGGCGCACACACACATGGGTAGGAAAACACGAACACAGAAGCGGCACCAACCAGCAAGGGTTAGAAGGAGCAGGAGGCGAGTGGCGGAGCAGGAGGCGAGTGGTGGAGCCAAAAACAAGAGACACGACTCTTGCCTCTGCGCGGCGACGCTCTACGACTCACTACACTCCCCCCTGCAAGCACCCCTTGGCGCGTACCATGCTCTGTCCGCCACTCTGCCGCTCCTGCAAGCCACGCCTTCACTTCAGGCGTCCACCATTGCCCTCCGTCTCGCAGGCCACAAGGCACACACACACACACACACACACACACACACACACACACACACACACACACACACACACACACACACACAGGGGGAGAGACACACACACGGAAGCGATGCAACAAGGGAGGGTTAGAAGCAGCAGGAGGTGAGTGATGGACCCGCAAGCAGCAGACACGACTGTTGCCTCTGCGCGGCGACACGCTACGACTCACTACACTGCCCCTACAAGCAACCCCTGGCACATACCACGCTCTGCCGTTTTGGAGCTTGGCCGCTCTGCCTGCTGGACCACGCCCATGTGCTGCTCCAGTTGCTCAGTTGCTCCTGCACCAAGCCGATGCTGATGCTGATGCGCTGATGCTGATGCGCTGATGCTGATGCGCTGATGCTGATGCGCTGATGCTGATGCGCTGATGCTGATGCGCTGATGCTGATGCTGATGCGCTGATGCTGATGCGCTGATGCTGATGCGCTGATGCTGATGCGCTGATGCTGATGCGCTGATGCTGATGCGCTGATGCTGATGCGCTGATGCTGATGCGCTGATGCTGATGCGCTGATGCTGATGCACTGATGCTGATGCTGATGCTGATGCCCTGATGGTGATGCGCTGATGCTGATGCGCTGATGCTGATGCTGATGCGCTGATGCTGATGCTGATGCGCTGATGCTGATGCTGATGTGCTGATGCTGATGCTGATGCTGATGTGCTGATGCTGATGCTGATGCGCTGATGCTGATGCGCTGATGCTGATGCGCTGATGCTGATGCGCTGATGCTGATGCGCTGATGCTGATGCGCTGATGCTGATGCTGATGTGCTGATGCTGATGCTGATGCGCTGATGCTGATGCGCTGATGCTGATGCTGATGCGCTGATGCTGATGCACTGATGCTGATGCGCTGATGCTGATGCGCTGATGCTGATGCACTGATGCTGATGCTGATGCGCTGATGCTGATGCACTGATGCTGATGCTGATGCGCTGATGCTGATGCGCTGATGCTGATGCTGATGCGCTGATGCTGATGCGCTGATGCTGATGCGCTGATGCTACTGCGCTGATGCTGATGCTGACGTGCTGATGCTGATGAGCTGATGCTGATGCTGATGAGCTGATGCTGATGCGCTGTGCTAATGCTGATGCGCTGATGCTGATGCTGATGCTGATGCTGATGCGCTGATGCTGATGCGCTGATGCTGATGCGCTGATGCTGATGCGCTGATGCGCTGATGCTGATGCTGATGCTGATGCCGATGCTCGCAGGCCGTGAGGCACACACACACACGCACGGGAGGAGAGACACACACAGAAGCAGCACCAACCAGCAAGGGAGGGTTAGAAACAGCACGAGGGGAGAAGCGGAATCAGAAAGCAAGAGGCACGACTCTTGCCTCTGCACGGCGACGCTCTACGACTCACAACACTCCCCCCTGCAACCACCCCCTGGCGCGTACCACACTCTGTCCGCTGCTCTGCCACTCCTGCACCACGCCGTCCCTTTACGCGCTCTTAGACCCACGCTCTTAGACCCACGCCCTTAGACCCACGCCCTTAGACCCACGCCCTTAGACCCACGCCCTTAGACCCACGCTCTTAGACCCACGCTCTTAGACCCACGCTCTTAGACCCACGCTCTTAGACCCACGCTCTTAGACCCACACTCTTTTTCCCACGCTCTTAGACCCACACCCTTAGACCCACGCCCTTAGACCCACGCTCTTTTTCCCACGCTCTTAGACCCACGCCCTTAGACCCACGCCCTTAGACCCACGCTCTTAGACCCACGCCCTTAGACCCACGCCCTTAGACCCACGCCCTTAGACCCACGCTCTTAGACCCACGCTCTTAGACCCACGCTCTTAGACCCACGCTCTCTTTGACCCACGCTCTTAGACCCACGCTCTTAGACCCACGCCCTTAGACCCACGCTCTTAGACCCACGCTCTTAGACCCACGCTCTTAGACCCACGCCCTTAGACCCACGCCCTTAGACCCACGCTCTTAGACCCACGCTCTTAGACCCACGCCCTTAGACCCACGCCCTTAGACCCACGCTCTTAGACCCACGCCCTTAGACCCACGCCCTTAGACCCACGCCCTTAGACCCACGCCCTTAGACCCACGCCCTTAGACCCACGCTCTTAGACCCACGCTCTTAGACCCACGCTCTTAGACCCACGCTCTTAGACCCACGCTCTTAGACCCACGCCCTTAGACCCACGCCCTTAGACCCACGCTCTTAGACCCACGCTCTTAGACCCACGCTCTTAGACCCACGCCCTTAGACCCACGCCCTTAGACCCACGCCCTTAGACCCACGCCCTTAGACCCACGCCCTTAGACCCGCACCCTTAGACCCACGCCGTTAGACCCACGCTCTTAGACCCGCGCCCTTAGACCCGCGCCCTTAGACCCGCGCCCTTAGACCCACGCTCTTAGACCCACGCTCTTAGACCCACGCTCTTAGACCCACGCTCTTAGACCCACGCTCTTAGACCCACGCCCTTAGACCCACGCCCTTAGACCCACGCCCTTAGACCCACGCCCTTAGACCCACGTGTTAGTGTTAGTCTTCAATCTCACAATTTGTACTTTGTATTTTCTATATCCTAGAGTAGTGTAGTTTGCACATTGTGTTTGGTTGGGTGTACACCTACATCCCAACCAAACCCAAATGTAATCTCCAACCAATCTCCAACCCACCAATTGGAGATTGCCTTGGGATTACCCCCAATCCCTAGAGATTGCCCCCGATTCCCTTCCCCATCCTTTTCCTACCCCTCTTGGATGTACTTAAAGAGCTTCAAGCTCATTACTAATGCATCGCTTCTAAGCCTATTTCTGACATGGTATCAGAGCCCTTCAACCGCATACGCGGATCGTGATCTTCTTACCTCTGCGGATACTCGTCCCGCAAACCTCGGCGAAGCCATCGTCAACCTCGTCGCCGGTGATTCGCGACATTCGTCGGCGGAAATTTTCCCGCTGCACCTTCCCGTCACTTTCGACGGTAATTTATCTGGTAAGCGCATCGTCCGCGCTATAACCTAACGCTCGCTTTCCTCCTCGTCGGGCCGCCGCCCGTCGCCTCGCAGCTTCACGTCGGGCCGCCGCCCGTCGCCCTGCAGCTTCTCGTCGGGCTGCCGCCCGTCGCCTCGCAGCTTCACGTCGGGCCGCCGCCCGTCGCCCCGCAGCTTCTCGTCGGGCCGCCGCCCGTCGCCCTGCAGCTTCTCGTCGGGCTGCCGCCCGTCGCCTCGCAGCTTCACGTCGGGCCGCCGCCCGTCGCCCCGCAGCTTCTCGTCGGGCTGCCGCCCGTCGCCCTGCAGCTTCTCGTCGGGCCGCCGCCCGTCGCCCCGCAGCTTCACGTCGGGCTGCCGCCCGTCGCCCCGCATCTGCACTCCTACCCCTTCCCCCTTCCCGCAGCTGAACAGGTGCAGCAGCGCAGCCGAGCAGCCGTGTAGCCGCGAAGCAGAGCAGCCGTGTAGCCGCGAAGCCGAGGGTGGTGTGTGTGAAGTTCCTATCGGTGACTTAAGAGCGGCGCTCCGCGCGAGAAGGGGTCTCCACCATGGCTCTCTCGTCTTCCACCATGGCGAACCCCATCACCCCGCTCCGCCTTGAAGCTGATGGCTCTAGCTCCAACTTCAAGGCGTGGAGCTACGGAGTTGACAAGCACCTCCTGAGCCGTGACGTGCAGGGCCTTGACCTCAAGGACGTCCTCCTCAACCGTGGCAAGGGGAAACAGCCTACTATTCCCCGTGAGCCGACCGAATCTCCAAGTGATACTGACGTGAGGGCGTACGAGGAAGCTGTTGAGAAGTACCGGAAATGGGAGAAGGCCGATGCTGCCATCATCAGCGTCTTCATCGCCTCCACCCCTCCCGAACTTGTCAACACGTTCCATAACTACCCTACCTCCAACGCCATCTGGAAGTACCTCCAGGATCGGTTCATGAACAAGACGGCGGTCGGCGTGGCCATTCTCATCCCTAGCATGTTTCAGGTCCGCCTTGAGGACTGCTCGGGAATGGCCGATTACATTGCCAAGGTGCAGACCATTCATGGCGAACTCAAGGAGCTGGGTATAGTCTTCCCCGAGCAAGCCCCTGCAGCCGCCCTACTTGTTGGACTCACCTCGGCATATGAGGTCACGAGGAAGATGCTCCTCACACTCTCAGCAGAGGACCTCACCTTTGCTAAGGTCTCCACCGCACTCCTCTCTGCCGAGAAAGACTCCACGGCTCAGGCCAAGGCGTACGCTATCCGCGCTCCCATGCCTCAAGCAAGTGTCGCAGCGGCTCTCGCCTCGGCGCCCTTCCAGCGCAACCGCTTTCCTCCGTGCCCCTACGTCGTCAAGTATGGGAATCGCAAGGGACAAGTGTGTGGTGGCACTAACCACCCCCTCGCCACGTGCTTCAAGAAGAAAGACGACGAATGGTACGCCATTCACGGAGTGGACAAGAAGCCGCCGAATTGGATGCGCTCTCGCAAGGCCAACCTAGTTGAGGTCCAGGACCCCGCTTCGACTAGTGCTAGTGATGCTGCTCCTGCTGATGTGCGTATCAACCTGTTGTTCCCTGGCACTGCCATGATTAATGAAGCTACCTCACAGTACATCGGCTCATCACACGCACCACAATACATAGAGTTAACACTCCATAGCGGGGCCACTCACACCGTGCTCAAGGAGACCCTCTCCTTCAAACCTTACCCAACACCTATCCCTCTCTTAGGAGCTGACTCAAGCTTCACCACCCTCGCCAAGGGTACCTCCACAGTCCCATGCCCCGCCTTCCCATCCGGCACTGTCACTGGCATGTGCGTGCCTTCACTGCGTCACAATCTAGTTGCCCAAACAGAAATTCAGGAGGCAGGGCTACGCACCATCTTCCCAGAGAACGAGGACTATTGCGACATCATCGATCCACGCACCAACAAAACTCTGGCCCGCTACACCCTCAACAGCAACGGCCTCTACACGCTACGCGTCCCTCTCCCACAGGTGTCAACCACCCAAGCACAGGCCACTATCACACCATGCTCATGTCGCACCCTCTCCAACCCGACCATCCTCTACCACCATCGGCTCGGGCACCCAAATTTCCGCACTCTTGCTGACATGGCCTCCAAGAAACTTCTCCTCGGCCTGCCAGCCGCACTTCCCCCACCACCTGACTCACCAGCTCCCACGTGCCTTGATTGCACCAAGAGCAAACTGCGCCAACAACCCCATGCTGCCTCACCCACAATCGCTGCAGCACCACTGGACCTCGTGCACATGGACGTCTGGGGCCCTGCCCCTGTTCTCGCACGAGGTGGCTATCGCTACTTCCTTATCATTGTGGATGACCACTCCCGCTATGTCTCTGTTCACCTCCTCCACACTAAGGCTGAGGCACCCGAGGTCATCATAGCGTGGGTCAAGCAGGCACAGACCACTTTTGACCGCAAGGTCAAGCGCCTTCACTCGGATGGGGGGGGTGAGTTCTGCAACGACAAGCTCAAAGCCTTCTGCTCCTCCGAAGGCATCCAGCAAAACTTCACCCTCCCTGACAGCCCTCAACAGAACGGCATAGCTGAGAGCCGCAACCACACCCTGGTGCAGATCACTCGGTGCCTCCTCAGCCACTCCAACGCTCCTCACTCTCTTTGGGGGTACGCTCTCTACCACGCTGCCCTCCTCTACAACCTTTACCCCCACCCGCACCTTCCCGACACCACTCCAACCACACTCTGGCTCGGGAAAACGCCCACTGCTCGCTCTCTTCGCGTTTGGGGATGCACCGCCTATGTCCTCCTCAACCCTCAGGCTCGACGGCATAACGGTGGCAAGCTCGGTCCCAAGACTCAGACGTGCATCTACCTCGGGCACAACGCCGACTCACCTGACTACCTCTTCCTCAATCCCTCCACTCACCAGTTGGTCAGGAGCCGTGACGTTGTCTTTGATGAGACCCGCCCATTCTACTCCCCTTCGGGACGGGACCCTCTCCCTGATCCACCCTCCCTCGTGTGGGCAGACTTTGATGCGCCTCCCGACCTCCCGCCTGCTCCTGCTCCCTCACCTCCTCCCTCTCCTGCCATCGCACCATCTCCCTCTGAGGTCACTGACCCGGCCTCACCGGTGTCTTCGGCAGCTGCTCCTCCCTCCCCCTCACCTTCCCCACTTCCCGCTGCGCCGCCCCCTCCGAGCGCACCTATCACCTACCATCGGCGGTCCCACCCTCCGGCCCCACCTCCTCCCCCGGCTCCCCCCACCACAGAGGAACCCGCTCTCCCACAGTCGCCCGAGCTGATCACGTACCGCCGGCGACCCCTTCCCCCGCCCAAGCCTGCTAAGTCACCCTCTCCGACCCCGCCAGCCCCACCCTCTTCCCCGGTGGCTCATGGCACTCGCTCACATCGCGCTACTCTTCCACTCGCGATGGTTCTTCGATACACCGCGATCACACCGCCTCCTCCTGCTGGGGGGGATGTGCCCTCTACCCTTCTAGAAGACAGGCATGAGGAACTGTGTGATCTCCATGCAGTCCTTCCTCAGCTCTCACACATCTTCCCCGACATCACTGGCTCACCCTCCCTCAACTTCGCGGAGAACCCGACCATCCCTATCCCTCTCACCGTCCAAGAGGCTCTCTCAGGCCCTCATTCTGCCAAATGGCGTGCTGCCATGGACGCGGAGATTGCAGCATTCACCCGCAACCACTCCTTCGACGACGAGACTCCACCTCCAGGAGTCAACATCGTCGGGGGCAAGTGGTTGTTCCGTGTAAAACAGCTCCCAGACGAGGCACCGGTGTTTAAAGCGCGCTACGTAGCCAAGGGCTTCACCCAGCAGCAGTACCGCGACTTCTTCCTAACCTTCTCCCCCACATCCAAACCTCCCACCATTCGTACGCTCATGGATGTCGCAGCTCGAGAAGACTTCGAGATCAAATCCATGGATGCCTCATCCGCCTTCCTACAAGGACGTCTCAAGGAGACAGTGTTCATGGACAGACCAGAAGGCTTCCCAGGAGATTTCCCTCCCAACACTGTCTGGAAGCTGAATCGCCCCGTCTACGGCCTTAAGCAAGCCCCTCGCGAATGGCACAACAAGGTGAAAGAAGTCCTCCTCTCCCTGGACTTCCACCCTTCAACTGCTGACCCGACTCTCTTCATCCGCCGTCATTCTGAGCCCTTCTACATCCTAGTCTACGTGGATGATTTCATCCTCGTGGCCAAGGACTCGGCCCAGATGACCTCAGTCCAGGCAGCCCTAAGCAAGGCTCTCCAGATGAAAGACCTCGGTGACCTCAAGCACTACCTGGGGATGGAGATCACTCGTGATCGCAAGGCTCGCACCATCTCACTCTCCCAGGAGTTCTACATCGACAATGTGCTCAAGCGATTTGAGATGGAGCTATGCACACCTGTTGCCACCCCGCTGCCGCTGCAACACCTCCTCACAGCTCCAGCGGTACCCACACCAGAGGCCTGCTCTGAGCCATACCCGGAGCTTGTTGGGTCCCTCATGTACGCCATGATGTGCACCCGGCCAGGTCTCTCGTTTGTGAGAGATTCAGGCTCCCACTGCTGGCTACCAAGAGTGGCGTTAGTCACCTTGCTGCAGTAGCTTAGAACGGTAACGTAAGTCCACTATGCTCTGGTAAACAAACGAGAGAACAGGAGTCCTTTGCTAGGGTAGGCTAATTTATGCTAGGCCACCCAGTCGCGAGTTGCTCAGCGTGATGGGTTGGGCTCGAGCCGCCTTGGCCTTGGATTGGCCTTGTGCCAGATTTCCTGTCTCCCGAGGGCCCTGGAATTGTGCCCGCAGCGCCTTGCAATTCCCCATAGTACCAACTTCGCGTTCCTCCCAATGCCCCACCTACCCTG